CATCCCCCCATTCCCATCCCAAACCCCTCCCCACATTTGCCCCCACCTGCCTGTTACCCATGGCCACTGGCTAGGCCCATATGCATTCACACAGGTCCTTTGGTTGATCTCTCCTTCTTACCCCCACCCTCCCCTACTTTCCCTCTGAGGTTTGAAAGTCTGATCGCTGCTTCTCTTTCTCTGGGTCTGTTTTTGTTCATCAGTTTTGTTTTTAATGTACAACTTCCCACTTTACAAGACCTTTGGGCCAAAGAAGATACATCTGTGAGCTACAGTTGGCCTATGGCTGTCACTCTGTAACCTCTACCCAAAAGCCAGATTGGCAGAATTGAGATGGTTGGGCTTCTTGATATTGCAAGGTTCAATTTGCTAAACCAAAGGATGACCATTCACCTCCATGAAACCTGACTCGGTCTGCATTTCAAGTTTTAAAGATCATTTCTTTTTTCTCTAGCCTTTCTTAGCTGCTTCTCCCAACAGAGAAAGTAGTATTCTACCCTAACCCTAAAATAAAGCCAATACTTAGTGTATGGCGATGGTGCAGGGGATCCTACAGTCCAGCTAGTCATCCTTTATACAGTCTGCTCAGGTAGGGGGATCCAGGCCTGAGGTCCCCTGGGTGGCTGCAGAGGAGACAGGCTGTGAGGAATTGTATTGGCAGCATCTGTCAGGAGGGTCAGATCCTCCCAGGTGTGTGGGCACCTTGAAGACAGCCAGGTGGAAACATTGCCAAAACCACTGGTCACTTGATTTGATTCTGTCCAACTGATTATTGTAATTGGATGAAAGTCTGATATTTTCCTCTCTTTTTCAACTGGTGTTGAAGGGTGAGCGGAACTGGCTCATGACTCACTCTTCTGGGTAGTTACCTAATGGGGCAGATTATCTCCTTTCACAGGCACAACTGTGCCTGCCTTTTGGCTGCCTGAAGAGTAAGCAAGGTCCAACTGTAGCCAAATGCCAGGAAATTTCAGAATTTCCTTGCATTTCATATTGCATTGTCTACAGAGGTCTTTGAAATGTTCCTTGCTCTAATACTCAGAGGGGATACATAGTTGAAGAATAAAATAGAACAGAAGCAACTACAATAGGGAAAAAAAGGAAGGAAAAAAAACACAAGGAAAGATACTCAGTGCAAAATGACAGGACTTCTCATTGTAGCAAATAATTGGAAAAAAGGACAGTTTTGTTTTAATGGAGCTGCTATACTGAAGTTCTTTATAATATGAGCTGTAGATTCAAAATTTTGTAATGCTGTGAATGGAGCCCTCTTCTGGAGAAATTTTTCAACAGATATTAAAACAAGATAAAAACACACAGATAGACATTCACACACACACATAGTCATACACAGAGAGAAAGATAATTAGAACATATTGTTGGCTATTTAGATGATATGTCATTTATGCATGAATTGAATCCATAGTGGTTTTTTCCCTCCTTTTCCTTACTTTCCACTAAATAGAAATTAACTCTACTCCTCAAAGAACTATTTTTGTTATTTTTGTTTGTTTGCTTGTTTTGTTTTTTGAAAGGAGGGAATGAAAGAAGCATATTCTCAAGAGTATAGCTGAACTTTTACCTAAATAATGAACTTCAGACTGACACTCTGCACACATCTGAATGCTAGTACTTGTAGATAATGCAGTTATTGGGTACATTGGTTTGGGGGCAGTTTAACATATACAGAATATTCCAGAAATAGATTTTGTTTAATGGAAAACCGAGGGCTCAAAATAGAAAAGGAGAGAAGGAGGGGAGACAGAGTGAGAGAGATTAGCTAAAATGACTATTGAGGCTTTTAATACAGACCATGGCATTACATAAATTCCAGATCACATATTCAGCCTTGCAGTTTGTTAAATGTCTTTGGGAACTTGCTAAAAAAAATTGTTCAGACACATTAAGTCTACCACTTTAATCCCTTTCACCACGTATATCTCTGTTTTTCCAGTGCTTCTGAAGTCTCCTAGGCTGTCACATGCTGAACCCTTCTCAGGGCAGGGGTGTTCTCTGCAATCCTCAATCTTTTATCCTCATTATAATGGTTCTTCAAAAAAAACAAAACACTTTCCTTAAAATATAATATAGGAAGTTGAAGGGGCACTAGAAAGACACTAATTCTCACTTATAATCCTGCAAGTCAAGATTCTGACTCCAAGAAAGGATTTCCCATTTTAAAATCAACACCTCAGAATTCTGCGGAACATTTGTAGCCACTCCCAAATGCCTGGTCTCCAAATCTGAACCACTCCCTAAAATCCTAATTCTAGGAGGATTACTCATTTATTGTTAGAACTCCTGGCTAGTTGTGATACCCAAATATGGGAGGGGGAGTCATGTTTACAGTGGAATTTCTGGCTCGTGCTGCTCTTTTTTATTATTTATTATAGCCAAATTCCAAAGGCCACTTCTGGGACAATCTTTCTCAAAACACCCAAGGGAAAAAAGAGCTGACTGTTCTTAACTTTGCCCGTTCCCAGCCATTGTTGGTTAGAATTCCTCTCCCTGCACCCCAAAATGCCTAAAAGAGCAACCTAGCCAATGAACTTACAGAGACTGATATCTTCCAAAGCTGGACCTGGCACTTTACCACTGAGGTGGAAACACACACACATGCTTGCCTGAACACCATGAGGGCTGATGACTAATTATTACATTGTTTTTTCCCTTTCTTCTGTTTTCTCTCTGCCTCAGGAAAGTCTTGTTTTTTCCTTCTTGACTCAAAGGCCTCAAGACTTTCCCTTTCCCCACCATGGCACACAGAGCTCTGCACTCAAGCCTCTTGCTGGGTAACTGGATTGCACCAGCATGATTCCTCTGCAAGGTGGTACTGCTACCAGGATATCAATTACTGACCTAATGTGGACCTTTGCTCTGATTGTGCATAATAATCTAAAGGAAAAAATATGCTTTTCAGGTCAGGCAATTTAATTTATTTTAAAGGAACGGAGTGAGCTGAGAGTCTTCATAACCCACCTGTGTTAGCTGGGTCTTAGCTGAGGAGACATACCAGTTGCTTTGCAAAAGGCATCATGAGAGAAGTCCCCTGGGTGCTGTCATGTGGTCTGTCTTGTTCAGAAGAAGGCATAACTTTGGGCAAGCCTTGGTATCCGAACTGAGAGTAAAGCATATCCACAGAGACTGTGAAGTCCTAGGTAAGTGCTCCCAGACACCCGACAGCTTCCCCTGAGCCAGGCCTCATGGTAATTGCGTTACCTGGGACATCCTGTTGAATGCAATACAATCTGCCTAGCAAGCCTATGGAGGTGTTAAGATTATTTTACAGTGGAGAATCTGGAAGCCCAGAGAGGTTAAGCAAATTGCCCAGAATGGTACTATTAGCATATGGCAGAACAGATCTGCCTGACTCAGAAGCATTTTCTGCACTACCCTGCTAAATTAGGATTGTATATACCTATATTCAGCCTCAGAATTAGTCTAGAAAGTCTGGAAAACTGGTTCATAGTCAGGCATAGGATTTGTGGCAGGACTTAAGGCTACAGGAACCCTAAGAGAATCAGCCAGCAATTCTTTTCAACAATTATTCAGTTGTACTCCTTGGTGGAAGAGGAGTACAACTGAATAAGGGAGTATGAGTGGGGAAAGGGGACTCAGCAGCCAGGCACCTTACTCTGCCTCCAAATACTCTCACACACTGCCACCCCCACTCTGAGTGCTGTCCATTGACATTGGTCAGATTCCAAAGTCTAACCCTCATGTTGACCCAACAGTGGTGTCCCCTTAGAAGGCTGCACTGCATCTCCTCATCCTAACCTGCCCCTGTCTGGGACCCTAGCTGCTCACTCTCTCTCTCACCTACATACTCATACATGTGCCTCTTCCCCTGGCACCCAGGAGTCCTGGCCCTAAAGGCAACACTCATTCCTAGCACCCCAAGGCACTCCCTGTCTCCTTCCCTCCTCTCCTAGGCTGCCAGGGAGACCTAGGTCCCAGAGCAGTGCTGGGCGTGCCCCTTAGCCTCCAGCACCTCTGAGTACTGCTTTCCTACACACAAACTTCCAGAGATCTCTCAGATACATAGGTGGTTGCTGGAGTACTGTGTCTCCATTGTCCCCTTTTAGGAATCTCAGGGCGCTCCCCTCACACAGCAGTGCCCCCCTCAAAGGGTTAACAGGCAGCTGTGGCCCTGGTGGGCAAGGCTTGAACTTTTCTGTGTTCCCAACCGCCTGCCTGCCTGCCCGCCCAAGAAAAGAAGCAGAGGTGGCAGCCAAGGCTCAGAGCTGAAGCTTCAGTAAGCTGGACAAATGGGGTGTAGTGTGGGGGTTTGGGGCCTGTGCCCTGACAGGGGATGCACCCCGGTCTTTCCTGGCATGAGGTTGGGGAAGGAAAGGAACCCCAAACAGGAGTAACTGCCACCGGCGCCTCTGAGCGACAGCAGCAGCCGCTGCTGCGCAAGGCTAGCCGGAGGCACCTTCCAGCGCGCAAGCCGCTGCGCTGGGTGAGGGGGCCCGGGCGCCCCAGGAAGTCAGCAATGCCAGGCCATCCTCTCCAGCCTCAGTCCCGACACCAGCGGCGCTTCCCTGCTCCGCGCTGAGCTTGATAAAATAAGGACTCCTTGGAGTCTTTTCCAACGGAGTCTTTCTCCAATACACGAGCCTCTGGGAGAAGGCGAATGAAAGTTACCCCACTCGATGTGGGCGAGAATGTAGCCCCTGCTTGCAAAATAAAGGACTCAGGACTCCGGAGATTTTTCCTTCTCCCCCTCAGGGAGCGAGCGAGCGAGCAAGGGAACACACACACACACACACACACACACACACACACACACACACAGGCAAGGCGGAGTGGGTAACACATTCGCACTAGGATCTCTGGGGCTGGGAAGAATGACCTTCCTCCCAAGCCCAGGGCTGTCTTTGCCACGGCTCCCGGAGTCCCCAAGCGCACCCCAAAGCCCCCTCACTCTGCAGACATCAGGCGATCGGAATGCAGAACCCCGGGGCGCAGGGCGCGCCTCCGCAACCCCTCTTCCCTACCTGGGACAGGAGAATACACAAGATGAGCGGAGTTTTCGGCTTCATTTTGCCCGACTAGAAGAGCCCGGCGGCGTTTTCATTCATGCACGAGGCTGCACTGAGCATATTTTCCGTGGGAGCCAGGCTTTGAGGAGAGGCTCTGCCTCGCCAGCCAGCCAACTTCCCAAATAGATCAGCGGCAGCATCACGAAAGCATTGGGTAGAGGCTGATGACCAGGACCAATGGCTTTACAAGAAGGATTCCTTCATAAAGCTCCCTCGTTTTGCATGGCAGATACGCGGAGAGCACCTCGTGCAAAGCAAGCCCCTCAAAGGAGGCAGCCCATTTGCTTTTTTGCACTGTTGGGGCCCAGCCTCACAAATCACGCTGGGCATCGCCAGCAGATTCCACTTATGCAGAGAATGGAATTGCACCCGGGACTGGCGGCCACTTACAGCCCAGTGCAAAGAGATTCTCTTTATTAAAATGTTAATAAGATCCACTTTATTTCCAATAAATCAAATAAAATGACCCCAACAGTTCCAGCCCTTTCTACGCCTGGAAAGACTTGGCAATGGATTTTTTTCTTTCTTTCTTCCCCCCACCCCACCATGTGATCCAAGTCATGATGGTGTTTGGTGTTTCCCTGCCATCACACAAATCACAAAGAGGACAGATCAATTCTAGCTTGCAGAAAAAAAATCCATCAAGGGGCAATAGACTTTATTAACTGCTCAAATGAGTATCTGACTGACCACCTACTCCACAGACATTCATCTGGCTCCAAAGTTGGGACCACGATATGAGGAAACTTTTTTTAAAAATTATTTTCTATATGGATGTGATCTTTTGGAAGCTCCTACCTATTCCCCCAAAACTCAGAACAGTAGTACCCATGTCTCAGGGGATTTTTATAAATGGAGTTTTATGGAAATGAGGATAAGAGGGATATCTAGGTTTGTCATTCCCAGTAGGAATCTAAGAATATGCAATAAAGACCATATGCTGTCATTTCCATGCAGCCTCCTAAAAGGGATTTAAAGTGTTCTATAATATAGGATATTTGTGCAATAGAATTTATACAACCAATATAAAAAATATGTGCCAGAAGGCAATAAATCAGAAAACTGAAATGCTAAACCCAAAGTCTAATAAATTTGCTCTGATTTAGATCTGAGCTTCCTGGTGGCTAAAGCAATAAGAGAAATACATAAGTTACATAGTTTTATCATGTGAATATCATCTGAAATAATTTCCCTTAATGCAAAATATTGGAATAAGTGTATTATGTGTTATCTAACCTAGTAGGACATTAACCCATGATCCAGGAGATGGGGCTGTTCTCCTAGCATCTGGCACAGGGTCTGGAACATGGAGACCATCATTAGTATGTGTTAAAGAGATGTCTAGACTTATTTAAGAAGTAATGAGGGTGGGATGGAACAATATTTTTAGAGTCACATTGCCTAAGCTTAACCTGCAGCTCTACCACTGATTAATAAGTGACTCATACTATCTCTGCCTCTGTCCAACAAATAAATAAATATATACATTATACTGCACTCCTAAGGATGTGGTGAGGATGAAGTAACTAAATAAGCACTCAATAAATGTAAACTGATACACCTTAAAATTATTTCATTGTCAGCTGTTCTATCACAAGGTCATCTCATGTGAGCCCAAGGTCATTAATGAAGATGTAATGCCATCTGACCACCTGGCTGCTTTAGCTGGTGGTGGCCCAACAGATGGCAATGTTGGCCAAACAGCTCCCAAAAGAGCCCAGGAGAGGTGAATGCTTATTTTCTTCCAGGTTTCTACTGTCCTCCTTTCTTTCTTTCTTTTTTTTTTCTTTTTAAAAAAATATTTTTATTGATTTTTTCCAGAGAGGAAGGGAGAGAGAGAGAGAGAGAGAGAGAGAGAGAGAGAGAGAGAGAGAGAGAGTTAGAAACGTCGATGAGAGAGAAACATCGACCAGCTGCCTTCTGCACACCCCCTACCGGGAATGTGCCCACAATCAAGGCACATGCCCCTGACCAGAATCTTACCTGGGACCTCTCAGTCCGCAGACCAATGCTCTACCACTGAGCCAAACTGGTTTCGGCTCCACTATCCTCTTTTCAAGGTAGCATTGCTCCTGAGCTTCTAAGAAGTGCAGTCACAGTGGTTGATAGATGCTGTTCTTGTCTCAGATTGGAACCCATGTGTGTGGAGACCCATCCCCACATTGCTCACCAGAAAGAATAAAACAAGGTTCTTTGGAGCCAGACCTGCTTCAAATCAAGGCATCATAAAATATCCTGATTTTTCTCCATTCCAGGGCAGAGTTGGGGGCCAACTGAGCCGAGCCCATAGATTCAGGGGAGAGAGAGAAAGAGAGAGAGAGAGAGAGAGAGAGAGAGAGAGAGAGAGAGAGAGAGAGAGAGAGAGAGAGAGCAGAGGACAGCTTGGCAGATGATAAACCATTATAAGGGGTAATGATGACGGTATGATGATGTTCCAGCTACATTTCCACAATCGGACATGCAGGCAGGAAGCACTACTAAGAGTGGGTGTCTTCAAGGACGCACGTGTACAAAGTATAAAGCAGTATTATTGATTTTATAGTTTTGCTGGACCTTTCTATGGTCTCCCTATTCCATCATTTTTACTGCTGCTCACCAAGTAGGTCCAGTTTTCCCCCTTCCTGACTCATGGAAGGGTTGCACTTGCCGTCCCCTTGCGGTTAGCATGAAGAAGTGTGACTAGTTCTAGCCAATAAGCTGTGAGAAAAGCAACAGGGATCACTTTAAGGCTGAAGTATTTAATCACCAGTGTGAGATAGGCTAGTTTCCCTGGAATAGGTGCTGAGATGGAACTTTGTGCAGGTGGCTTACTGGGGAGTGTTCTCAGGAGCCATAGCTGCAAGAGGCAGGGAAACAAATTGGCAGAGGTAGAAGGTGAACACAGCTGTCCTTGCCATAGAGGACTCGGCCAATCCCCCAAGGGAGCTCTGAGGCTAGACCGGCCCTTCAGAGATGACCCTAATAGAGCCATTTTTGGAAGAATCTTTGTGTTCCCAGAGCTCCAGCTGCTCCCTAAAGGAGGATAATAATCTTGGGTGAGGTTGTTTCAGCTTCATCAATGTATTGAATTAAGGTGCTGACCCAGAACATTTAACTGGAGGCTGTGATTCCTAGACTGCAGATGAACTTGTGCTTCTGAGGGCACCAGTAAAGATAGCTACGGATTTGCCTGGCCAAAATTCTGCTGAGTCTGTCTCCATCCAGGTACTTGCAGACATTCCCCAAGGTTCTGGGCTTTTGTCCTTGAGCTAGTCTACTGGCAGGCAGAGTGGCTCCAGCCAACCTCACCTGATTCCAGGTGGATGTGCCCAAAGGGCCAGTCCCTATCCCTTCCTACTTCAGTGGGGGAGGTGTTTGGAGTTGTAATAAGTTACAAATGTAACTTTCAGAGTCTTCTTAGGCCTTGAGGCTCATTTATAGAAATAACAGAGACTAGAAAGTTGGAAAGAAATTTGTCTAAAAAATTACACCTAGATTGGGATTTCTGGACTTCACTTATATTGGGCAAGTAGCTTTTACTCTCCAACCTCAGTTTTTTCATCTATACAATAGAAATAACAACATAGCAACATTCCAAGAATTGTTGTAAAAAGATGATGTTACTTTCCCCCTCTATCCTTTACTCCACTCTACTCTCACAGAATGTACATTTTACCAAAAATATCATGTTTTTTGTTTAACAAAAAATAGGAGAAAAGTCATTTTATTCCAATGATAGCAGGTTTCTGAAGAAGAAATCTATTTGTTTTGTTTATTTGTTTTGCCTTATTCTCCCTTCAGCTTCCTAATGAGGGTTTTTGGCTGATTGATTGATGGTGGCAACTAAATATTGAAGCTAAAATCCACCTCCCAATTAGCCCTGCTTTACCTCCCTCACTACAGCCCTCTAAGAGCCCCAGCAGCTTTTGCAGCTGTGGATTCCCCAGGTGCCATGTCTGTGTTCAGACACATTCCAGATTCACATTCCTTTTTCAAGCACGTCAGCCTGGTTTTGGAGCTGGTGGAACCATCACCCAATAGTCTGCAGCTATTTCCTGAGGTTCCAGGGATTGAGACTTTCCTCTCATTGACTGATGTGGATAAAGACATGATTTCTGAGTGTGTGGAGGTGGCTGTGTGGGTATGTACAGTGCTTGTGTGTCATCTATGCAGGCTCATGAATGTGTGTGAGTGTGGAGAGGAGCAACTGGAATATCATTCGGCAGAGATAATTTATTCAAATTGTGGTACCCTTTAAATTTGCTGCTGTCATCAGGCATTTGAATAGAATAGTAATAAACTGGATAGATGTCCTTATGAGACTCAATAGTTATCAGGTATGCAGGAGCACTTGCTACTTGGAGAGCAGGAAGGGAAGTCCATCCCATCCAGCACTATAACATAACATAATGCTGAAGCTACAGCCCTTCAATGCATTTAGGCTGCACACCATCCCATAATACCTGGCTACCAAAAGTTGCATCCTTTATCTGCATGAGCCATGAACCTGCTTTATGTTTCTTCATTGTCCCTTCTGTTATTTGGCCTTATATCATAAGTGGTTACTTTCATTATTGTCTCAATTCTTCACTCCAACCCACATCTACATCTTTTACCCCTTGACTTTGGGTTTGCCATATGAACTTGATGTGGCCAATGGAATGAGGGAAGAGTAATGGGGTGCCAGTTAAAAGCCAAGGCTCCAAGAGGCCCTGTGCATTTCAGCTTCCTCTCCCTAGGTTCTCTATCAATGCCTCAAAGGAACATTCATGGACTAGCTCACTGCTCATAGGAAGATAGATGAGCACCTCCATGGACCCACAGAAACTTGAGCAAAACCAATAGAGCTTTGATACAAGAAAACCATCCAGATTAGCTGACTCACATGTATGTGAGCTAAAAATAAATAATTGCTCTAAATTTTGAGGGTGGTTTGTTATGTATCAATAATTACACTTTTGATTTGTTGTCTATCTCTCCTACATCTGTCATTTTGCTGCTGTGTGCTTAGCTTCTAGAAC